GCAAAAACACAATAATGGAGAAAGCATGTACGGGGAATTAGCTGATATTGATCTAGCACAAAACTAGAACTTAATCAGAGGATGACTTAATGTAAGGGCAACAGTTTTAGTAGAGCTAGAGATTTGGGGAAATCTGAGGAAGATTGAGTTTTACAAGAAACTCCACTAAATCTGAGGTGCGGAGGCCTTTTTGAGTTTGTAAATTGTCCACGAATCTCTCAAGAGGAACAGGTTTGGATGCAAGGCCTTTCACTAAAGAAGAAGTCCTGAATACTTTGTCTCTCTTGTCCGACCCTAACCCTAGACAGCAAACAGGAGAGAAACAGTGGCATCACTGCCTGATCGGAAATTGCCCAACCAGGCTCTATTGTTTCTTTCTATCTTGTTCTGGGTTATCTTCTGAAACCTTCCTGGCCATCTTTCTTTTGTATCTTGCTTATGTAAATCCTGACATCTTTATTCTTGTAATTGGTTTCTAAGTACCGATATTTGCACTCTAGTATATTGGTTGTACAGTTCTTGCTTTACATGTTTTTGTTCCCACTTTCTATATGTTTTCATAATATGTAGCTGAGCAATTGGTTACCGTAGCATACATTAAATTGTTGTATTTTTAAGAAGCTAGATGTGGAAGTGAAGCATTTAGGAATAGTGGTTTGTTAAATTTCTGCTCCTTTATTGTCTATTTCTTGTAGAATTTTATTCTGTTTCTAGGTTCTTTTTCAGACGCTTGTGTATTTTCTTATGTTGATTATAGTCTCGTACTTCAGCTTAGTGCCCTGGTAAGAGATGGTAGACTAGGGTCTTATCCTCAATTGGGGTCGGGGGCGAGAGGCAGGGGAATTTATGCGTTTAGGGGGGCTGCCAGGCTAAGACAGGGTCTTGGAATTAGTGAAGATCCTTGAGAAAGGAATATTAATATAGCTTGCATTCAGGAGACCAGATGGGTAGGTTCTAAGGATTGGGACGTGAACGGGTTCAAGACTTTGGCACTTGGGGAGTCCGAGGAACAAGAATGCTAGTAGATGAAGACCTAAGGGAGAAAGTGGTAGATTTTTGGAGGGTTAACGATAGGTTGCTGTAGATCAAGCTAGTCATTGGTGGTTAACTTTGAACGTCATTGGAGCATAACTGCATATGCTCCGCATGTAAGGCTTAGACGAGGTGGTCAAGAAACGGTTTTGGGAGGAATTGGATGTGGTTTTGGGAGATACTCCAATCACTAAGAAGATTTTTATTAGCGAGATTTTAATGGCCACATTGGAACAATTTCAAGGGTTCTGACGATGAGCATGGCGTTAGTGGATTTAAGGTTAAAAATTGTGGTGGAAACTTGCTCTTGTATTTTGCTAGAGCTTTTGAGTTATACCTAACTCATGCTTTCCAAAGAAAGATCATCACTTGATTACTTTTTGTAGTGCGTGGGGCCAAGACACACATAGATTAACTGCTTATAAGGAAAGGCGATATAAGCCTTTGTAAGGATTGCGAAGTCATCTTGAGTAAGAATCTTACTACTCGGCATAAGCTTTTGGAGCACGTGGAGATTAAGAGAGAGAGGAAGAAGAAGAATTTATATGTCCAGCCTAGGATTAAATAGGGCTGGTTTGCACCTACCCTCTCCCGTGTAATTCGGGAGAAATTGACGTTATGGAGGCTTAGAGGACTAGTGCGGATGTGGAAAGCATGTGGGATAAGACAGCTAGTTGCATTAGGAAAGCAGCTAGAGAGGTGTTATAGCCTATGGCTGTCAAAGGGTAACTTTGGTCGACACCGAGAGGACTAGTGCTGGAATGGAGAAAATCAAGGTAAAGTGGAAACAAAGAGGGCTGTGTATGCGAAGTAGGTGGACTACACAAATGAGGACGACAAGCGGGTAAACAGGGAAATTTATAGGACAGCAAGAACAGAGGCTAACCCAGAGGTAACTACAGCTAACATGACAACTTTCAAAAGATTGTCTGTTGAACTGTGGGAAAAGAGGAGATAGAAGTTGTACAGGCTCACGAAGGTGAGAGAGTGGAAGGCCCGAAACTTGGATCAAGTGAAGTGCATCAAGATGACGAAGGCAATGTCTTGGCGGAGGAGAAACCCTCATGAAGCAAAGATGGCAAGCATACTTTCACAGAACTATTGAACAACGGAACAGACAAAGACATTGTGTTACGAGAGTTAAAGCACTCTAAGAGACATCAGGAAAAAGTGTTAGCCAATCAAGAACTCTCACGTTCAAAAGATAAAAGTGGCATGGATGAGGATGTTGTGATAAATATGTGGACAAACTAAGAGAGATAGGATTAAAATTGAGGATAACCAGGACAAGGTGGGAGTGGCTTCGGTAGAAAACAAGATTCAGGGAGTGAGGTTATGATTGTTTGAGCATATGATGAGATGCATGGATACCTAGTCCAGAAGTGTGAGAGGTTAGCTATGATTGGTTTCATGAAGGGTAAAAGTGGACCAAAGAAGTAATTGGGGCGAGGTGATTAGACATGACGCAATTTTGACTTACCAAGAAGATAACCTTAAATAGGAGGTTGTGAAGGAAACATGTTACATGTTACAGTAGAAGTTCAATAGGTAGGAGTGCATTCGTGTTGTCCGCCCATACTCGTAGTTGTAGTATTACTCTTGCAGTTTCTTGTCTTTAATTTTTGTTACTCTCTGTTGTTTCTTGTACTTCGACTATCGTATTATTTTGTTGTAGTATTGTTGTGTTACCATCTCTTGTTTTGTTACTTTATGTTTTTTCTTGTACTACCAGTACTTTCTATCTAGATTACTTTGGACTGGTTTTTTCTCTTGAGCTTACATACACTATACTTTTCTTAAACCCCACTTTGTGATACTATACTGGTATATTCTTGTAGTTCTCAGCCTAGTTCACATGCACCTCAACTAATTCCATGAGATAGATGCTACCCCCCACCAACACAATACTAAATAACTCTATTAACCAAGACTTGAATAGATAAGAAGAAATCACCTGGTGTTTTACGTTTCTTGTGGAATTTGAACATGAGACTTGATGGTTCTAAACTCACTTCATTGATCCCCAAGGCCAACCGTAGGAGTTTATTTTTATCTTGTTTAGCCTTCTTTTATGCCAAATTTCCAGAGCCTTAAATACATGAGTGAGTTCAATGAAATATACTTGTGCCAAATGGTAACTGTTTGAGATGGCACCAATGTTTTTAAAAGCACCCATTTCAGGACTACTAAACAATGAAGCAACGGCGAGGCACGGGGTCGCATATAAAGGTGAGGCAAAGAGGTTTGCATGAAGCAGTTGCTTCTATCCTTGATGCATGAGATGCGAGGAAGCAGTCACTTTGCATATTATATAAGTGTGGCTTTTTAGCAAAAAGGGAATGATGGGACTTATTTTAAATTGAAAAATAATTAGAGTTACTAGGTCGCGTCTTCTTTCTCTCTGCGTCTAGGGTTCTTCAAAATCTGCTAGTGTTGTTTCTTGAAAATTCAAGCAATTTTCTTCTTTGTTTCAGTGCGTCTTACTAGCGCTGCCATCTTTTTATTTCCTTTTATTTTTTTTGTTGCTTCTATAATCTTCTTCGACTTTTCTTCCTTCTATTTTCTTTATAATTGGTTCATTGCCTCTACATTCTTTTATTTTCTTGTTATTGTCGTAGCGATTGTTAATTTATTTAAGCGGGCAATGTAATATTCTTATTTAGTTAGTTAATTCATTCAATTTGATATTCTTCAACTTCTCTTCCTTCTCTGTTTTTTAAAATTTTATTTGAATATATATACAAGTTTCCTTGAGTTTTTTACTTGGTTATTCTATTTATTTATGCAAGGTTTATTTTAAATTTATAAAAAGATTCAACTGAGGGCTTTACTTCTTGCTTTAAGCGAAGTAGACCCTTACCAGTTATCACTTTTCTACACTTATGGCTCTCAAAAACACAATGGCATATAACTTGCTCCATCAACTTTTCTTTATAATGGATATGCCATCTTCCATTAATATATCTACAACTTTTCTTTATTATGGATATGCCATCAGTACCATCAGATTAGGATACCACAAACTGGAACTTGTTCCACCTAGACTCGTACAGTTCTTTTGACTTTGTAGCCTAAATATGCCCAAAATACTCCAGAAAAAAGGATCTGACGTGTCAATAACAGTTTGATACTCTACAGTCTATGCAGCAAATTCGTTTAATTTTACAAGTCATTTGAAATAGGGATGTCAATGGTAGAAGATTCTCTCTTTCTTTGTGGGTCAACTAAGATCTAGGACAATCTATGTAAAAAGGGGCAGCCTGGTGCATGATGTATCTCGCAAGGTCTGGGGTAGGGCCTCACCTCAAGGAAGTGCAATGTAGGCAACCCGCGATGACGCAAGTATCAGTAGTTGATTCCACGGCATGACCTATAGGTCACACAGTGACGACTTTACCAACATACCTATTTATCCAAAACGTTGGAAAGGAAAAAAAGATCTACCTAATTGATCCTGGGTTCATTCTTAAGTCACCCCTTTGTCAATAGATAAAAATACTGATAGAAACACTTACCCAGTTTTTTAAAAGAAATTAGATGCTACGGTATCTCAAAGAAAACAGAAGGGTGCCTGCAAAACATTTCTGTTTGACAGTAGCAAGGAATAGCATAGAGTAATTTAACCATCCTTTAAGATGTCCATCAACCAACACAGTCCCAAGTACTATAATGTTTTTGAGGGTTGAGGAATCAAATAGAATTATACTTTTACAATTGCATGAAAGAAGAGGTGCATAAGAAACTGTCAGAACTGAGAACATACAGAAGTAACACAACATCTGAATAATAACTAGTCTCGGGAGACATAGTCATGAAGACCAGTTTAAGAAACATAGATGTTAGGTCTCCAATGATTACCAAATAAAAGCACTTGTTGATACTAAAGATTAGCTTTTCATTATAGGCATAAAAGGTTTACAAGGCACAATGTTACTTATCCACAAAGAGAAGGCAAAAAGAGGACGTACCTGGAAATTTCTCGCAAAATATAACAAGTTCTCCAGTGATATGAATCCAGCACCCCTATAAAAGTCAATCAAACATGTCAGTGGTGAACCAAGAATGGAAGGATCAGAAAGGCCGGAAGAACTCGGAAAATCGAGATTAGATAAGCTCAATCAGCAGTGATTTCTTATTTAAGATGCCTAGGGGGGAGGGAGGAAGAGAAAGAAAATACTGATGTACCTAAAGTCAGTAGATGGATCCTTCCCTTGCCAACCCATATCCTTCCATTGCTCAGATATTAAACCATGGAGTTCCTCCACAGGGAAGGCAGCTTTCCACAGTGCTCTTAAAGCTTCCTTTTGGTAAAGAGAGGGGGAGAGAGAGATGAAGATGAGCAGTAAGAACATAAATTTAACCTTAATGGAACGTTTAAAATCCTTAAAGATGTTTTCTCTTAAGTTCATAGTTAATGGCTAAGATGTCTTCAAATAGAGGATACCTGATGTTCAGGAATTGAACCATCATATGCAACATCTATACGGTTTTGTAGTTTTTGCAAGCATTCCTCCTAACATTAACAAAGTGAAACAGAATACGATAAGTGCCGATGTGCCAAAGACGCTCCATACTTCCTCACGGTGTTGCGAAAGTTGACATTCTGAATAACATATTTTCTAAGAATAAAACTGGATAAGTTGACATAAGTGGCGAATTGAAAATAAAAGGCTATATTGGCAATCTCATCAGAATTATCAACTGTGGTTATCTGAGGATTGTGGAGGAAAAGGGAGAGCGTGAAATTTCAGATATAAGACATTCATGCCTGAGACTTGGCACAATTTAAGAGAGTTAAAGAATATGTGAACCTCAACATGAGCTCAATTAGCTAAATGACTGAGAAACCAAGTAAAACTTATTACCATTCGCAACACTCAGCATATTCCCTATTTGTTGTAACTTTCAAGTTTAAAATCTTAGTAAAAACAACCAGAAAACAAATTTGTATAGCATATTGGAAGCACCACAACGAAATCCTATCCAGAATACAAACTTTTAATAAGAGAGGATCAAAAGAACCCAATACTGCATCATGTTGACACTCCTAGAAATTACCTAGTAGGAAGCTTACACTTCATATAATCTGCACCAGAATCTAAGTTGTTACCTAGTAGGAAGCTTACACTTCATATAATAACCTGCACTAGAATCTAAGTTGTAAGCGCTCATCGGTTTTGATGCCATACCCATGTCAGACTCTCCAAAAATACACTACTTTTGGAGAGTCCGACACGCACCCGCTGACATATTTGAAGAGTCCGAGCAACATAGACTAGAATATTACCTGAGCTGGTGTCACATCAAATGATCGACGCGTATCAATATCGGTTCCCTGGGCACAAACGCATGAAAGGCCTCTGCCAAGCCATGCTGTTGATCCTGCCATGACCTCTGCAGTAACAGAAGGAAACAATAATCTAGGGAAAATGGGAGGTCAATTTCTCAGTAACAACATGCTTCATAGTGTATAGAGATAAAAAAAAAAAAAAAAAGATTTAGACACATGAAGAGAGGCACATTCATTTTTTATTATTAAGAAGAGAAGTTAATCCTTCATTTATTTATTTTCCTTTTTTGGAATAAGTAGTTAAAGTGTATCTTTCTAGACAAGAAAAGACAACTCTAATGAAAAAAGTCTAAGTTGCTCGGACCCTTCACTTTTGGTGCCGCACCCGTTCGACACGGCATGGGTGTGGATGTGGGTGTGGGATCTGTGTCCGATTTGGTACACGGATTTTGGGTACTTTGACCAAAATCGATGGGAAGACTGGACAATTTTAATGATTTCCTATAATCAATCAAAAGCTAAGGTGAAATTGAAGAACATGGAATACCTTTTATATAGAAATTTCTATGTCACTCTTTTTCTTTCTTTTTCCTTTAATCTCCTTCCAGGATTCTCCTCAAGTTCTCCACATAATATCTCATAATTTAGGTTTGATAACTCTATTTTTAAATATTTTAATTATTTTTCGGTGAAGCCGCACATCCGTATCCATTCATGGATCCATATCCCCGAATCATAAAAATTAGATAATGAAGGATCCATCCACACCTGTATCGCACACCCGCACCTGAGTACGAGCAACTTAAAGCAAAGTTTCAAACTGACGAAGAGGTGTAAAGAATGGATCAACTCAGCAACTATGACAAGGTTCAATTGTGTAATCGGTATAATATCACAATTAAATACATGGTACATGCATAGGTACGAAAACAGAAGCTCACAAATGTTAGAGAACAAATATCATGGGCTATACTACTCAGTTAGTAGAAATCCTACCCACCAAAATTGTTCGTTGAGAAGTGGAAACATCTGTATACTTTTTTTCTTCTTCAATGTTTAGATTATGTTGATGATGAGAAATAAGCACAAAGAGAGTGCTGTCGCAGATGTACAAAAACAGCAGGGTGTGTTGAACATAAATATACCATTCAAGTGTCTTGACATACATGAACTAACCTTATTTATGCACAACAAGAGAAAAAAAATAACCTCCCACCACTGAGTACAAAACAAGAACCACCTTAACACAACTTCACTAGCCAATTGCCTTTTATAATTGTCTATCAAAAAACAATTCCCATTTGAAAGCTAAAATTGGATGCAATCATGTAATGTATAATCATTAAATACAGAGTAATTCTTTTTTTTTTAAAAAAAATAACATGTCAGGACACAGTATATATTAACAGTTGACAGAATTTAATAGGGCAGCTCAATACACAATCCTGCTTTCTCATAATGTGCAACCGTGAGATGAACAGCCTGGTTAAGTAATAACAATACCCCTAATGCAGCCCAAAAGATAACATAAATGACCTAGTAAATTCTCAACCACTCCATTCTAGTGTTCTAAAGCTATCAGTGATAGTTGGACTGGCTAAAGCTACTTTTCGGATATTTTTGCTTATATGAAAGGTCAACATCCGACATCCTAGAAACCAAAACTATGAAATAATAGATTTTTGGAGAAGAATCAAATAGACGCCTCTATAGGCATATTTGCCTACTGTAATTCCGCAATTTTACAAATAAGCTTCCCAAACTTTGTACATGCATCTTTCTTGCGGAACAAAGATCTAAAGAAATTTTGCGGAAACTCACCACAAAATTAAAGGCAACCAAAAATTTCAATTCATAGATAAAGAAAGCAATAAGGAATAAAAGTAGAGACTAGAGAGAGGTGTCATAAATATTAAATTAAAGAAGGAATATAGCATACATACCAGAAGATGAATGGCAAGTACTATTCCCTCTTTCAAATCCTTGGGATATCCTCCTCACTGCCACGAACGATTCTCCTCTATCCTCCATTTTTACCAATTTTAAATCTACCTTTTCTGGAAATCGATTTCTGGAAGAGAAATGGAAGGTTCCTTCGTTGAAGCCGTAAGATCTGCAACAAGGGAAGTGTTTATTTATATACTATGCGTTATATCCAGCTAGCAGATATAGTTGTTCTAATTGTGATCTTCATACCAAATTTTCTTCTTATCAAATCACGGATGAGTGAGGTTTTGGGTGGGGTGGGGACTGCCGATCCAATTGCTTAATCTATGACTTTATTTATTCATGTATTAATTAATTTTATAATTTGTACATACAATTAATTTCAAATAACCTTTTGCTCCTAAGTTTCAAAGGTTTTATAAACGTCTATCACATATAAATTTTATATGATATTTAAGAAATTTATGTGGATAGAGGTTAAGTGGTATTAGTTATAAATGAATTGAAATAATAAAAATTCTTCAATATTTTGTGAGGATCATACGGCAAGGAGAAATAGAGATAGATTGTGTATCTAGGAGAATGTCAACACTAAAATTTATTTCTCTTTCAAAAGGAACACTAGGAAGATTATCGAGAAACATTTTTTGAAAGTCATTGACAATCGAATGTGACTCAACATTAGGGGTTTCACAATCCATACTCGAACAAGATGATAGAAGCAATCTTTAGATATCATTTTCCTACCTTTTACGCAAGATATGAATTGACCCTTAGACGCTGCATTTCCTCCTTTCCGTTCTAAGATAGATGTGTTGGAACCTAGAGTGTGACCAATTGGATCTTGTAGTCTATAGAAGCATGGCAAGAGTGAAGTCAATTTATCCAAGGAATAACATCAAATCTAGCATATCAAGCTCTATCAAATCAACATGACTGACTATATGAAACAAGGGAAATTTTATAGGCTTGTAGCAACAATAGAATCATTAACACGGGTAGAGACTAAAAAAGGTTCTAAAAGAATAGAGGGACAGAGATCAAATCTCATAGTCACATAAGGAGTCAGAAAAGACAATGTAGCATCTAGATCAAGCAAAGCATACACATCATGATGAAAGGATTTTAACATATCAGCCATAATATCTAGAGAATCCTCGTGATCCTATCGAGTCTAAAGAGATAGAACTTATTCTGAATAATATAGACTTTGATAGCAACTTTGTCAAATCTCATACTATCGTGATTGACATCCAGACTAACCCTCCAGTGGGAGAACCATTACTATAACTCAACCAACAATTTAATACTATGGAAGTAGGGTTAAATAACTAAATAATGAAGTTTACATAAACTTCAAACAAAAGTTCAACAACGAAATAAACAATGCGGAAGAAATAACCTAGAACCTAAAAGTCAATGTACCAAAACATCTAACAATCAACCAAAGTCTTAACACAAAGGGATACAACCCAACAAATGAATAAGTAACTAACTAGAAGAGTCTAAGTCCGAAATATAGGCATAGACAAAAGAGAACTCAAGGCAGCCTTGAAGAATTGGCTCACCCTTGAACTCGAAATGATTACTGATCTTAAGCGAGGTCTGTCAATAGTCTCTAGAAGATGTCATGTAGTCAACAAAAATAAGAGCAAGTGTGGTATCAGTACACAACCACAATATACTGGTAGGATCATGTGTCTATCTCAGTAACTGCAACATATCAATTCAAAACCCTATTCATCAATAAAAATACCGTGAAACCACGGTATATCGATTCAACACCCTATTAATCAAATAAATAAAAGTTGGGGTGCATTTTTTAGCAAAATGACATGACTAAAAACACAAATGACCATACTATGTTTGGGCAAATTTCTTGGGTATATATTTGTCTTTGATTTTCAATTGGTGATAACCAACCTCTAGTCGATCTTTGAAAGACAATTAACACCTTGTAACCGGTCAAACAAATCATCAATTCTAGGGAAGGGATATTTGTTCTTAATTGTTACTCTAACACCCTAAAAACAAGCTAAGTTAATATAGAGCCTATGATTTGTGTCATGAGTTTATAAGGTGTGAAAATGATGAATTATAGTGTTTAAACTCAGTTTGAGAAGTTTGGAAGTGAAATGACCAAGACGTTCGAAAACTAGTCTAAGTCAAACTAGTGTGTCGTAGTGTTTAGTAGTGGAGTTTTGGGGTATGGTATGAGGGTGAAATTGAGTATCGATGGTTCAAACACATAGACTGACATGTAAATGGTCTAAACATTAGAGAACGACGCCTCAAGGACCATCCAAAGGGTCCTTGAGGAGAATCCAAACATGGGAAAATGAAGCCGCCGAGGTAGCCAAGAATTGAGGTCCAAGGCACGTCGCGCCAACTACACTTAAAGGAAAAAAGTTTACACAAACACAAACCATTCTGTCTCAAAAATTTCCAGAACAAAGAATTCGAAGTGCCTTCGCGACGCACAACCTGTGTCAGATTCGGTCGCATTTTAAGTCAAGTTTGAATTGGTATGGTCCTATGTGTGTATGAGTCCTTTTGGTATTTTTGGGACATCTTATTGACTTTATTGTGTCTTTTGAAACCCCAAAAGTCACCAATTAAGCAAAACCCTCAACTCAAAAGAAAACCTCTCCATTCATTCTCCCCAAAACCTCTATTGATGAAACTTTTAAGATCCAAGGAATAAGACAAATTTTCCATGTTTTTCTCCATCAATGTCATAAAATTTTCTTCAATACAGGTATGGTGATTCATCTTTGAATCCTATTACATTCAAGGATTTAATTTCATTGGTTTTCAAAGATGATAAAAAACGTAGAATCTGCTATTTAAACTTCTACATGGGTTCTTGCATAAAATGATTTGAATAACCGTTTTATGGTAGAATTGATGTTAATTTAATATTTTAGATCAAAATTCTTTGAACCCATGCATTTCATGAATTCCTATTTTTGTCTCTAATGTAGGTGAATTGATGATGCCTTGATGTTAATGAATTCTTGTTTACATTAGATTGAGCTATTAAATTATGTACATATCATGTTAGAATTGTATATAGGCTTCCTTAGATTGATGATTTTCACATTGCATCTTGTTGGATCATTGTGTGGTTTTTTGTCATTGTTTTGGAATAGTGTATATGGCTATTGATAATAGCTTTTGTGAAGTTAGTTGATAGAGAAGGCTAAGGATTGGTGGTGTTGATGATGGAATGGTGGTAATATGACCTAATCTCTTCTATATTGTGTAGTAGGCATTGAATTGTGTTGATTGGTATGATCCACTTATGGTGGCTGTGCTTATGTGTTATATTTATGAGGAACGTGGTCTTGTCAGCATTAATATGAAAATTGTGATGTTATTATGTTGTAGCTTGTATAGGTGATCAATGTGAAGGATTATGTGGTACATGTGTATATGTGAAGTTGAAGCATGAGTTCTTCTATTTGATTATACGATTCTATAATATATTATGGTGATGTCTTTATATGTGTATACTTGGATGCTATGATACATGTGATAAGATGATGAAATGTGTGTCTTGTTTTGGTGGATTTAAATCCCTTTAATTGATGCATGAAAGAATGTGAATATGAACTCTTGACTTAGTAGGCTTAAGAACCTTTGTCATGTATGTTTATGTATGAGTGAAATATGACCTTCAAAATGTTTGGAGGGTCATTAACTTGAAACCTTCAACCTAGAAAGAAGGTTATTATATCCTTGAAGTTGAAGCTATAAGGGTATCCATCTTGTGTAAATAATGGACTTAGGGGTAGGTTAGCAGGAACAACATGAAACCATATCTAAAAAAGTCATTGAGATATCCTTGTTGACCATTGTGTGTCAGCCCTAGTGGACCATCTATAGTAACAACACTATGACTTGGTAATGACTAAAATATGGTACCTTTTCATATATCTCTAGTGATTGAACTTAATCTATGAGATTATGGCTAGCACCGAGTCCATATGCTTGGGGAATGACTCTATTTAAGTCAATACTAGAGTACAAAGGAACTCTTGATATTCCTTAACCATGTGCCTACATGTGATGTGTCCTAGTTCTATCCTTTGCAAGTAGAACACCCTCAATCGGAGTAGGGTAGACCCTGGATTTGATGCCTAGATAGTATGGTCTATGTCGACTAATGCCTATTCTAATCAAGTGGGATGCATTCTAGTATTGGAGAAGTTTTACAAAGTGTATTTAGTGTAATGTGATGCAATCTTTACATTGCACGAGTAAGCTTTGAAGATTCTAGGATGAGGGTTTCCCTAGGTCTTCCAAGACCATTATATGAGTTTCCTAAATGAGAATGTCTCTTAAGTGTTGTAATGACTATTGATTGACTTAAGTTTATGCATGTGAATGAAAAAGTCCTTATCTAGAGTAGCTTTTAGGATTGCTTTAGTAGTCTTGAAGAGGGTGTATGGGCGATCTCTTCATGTCTTACTTAGGTTAGTCTTAGAGTAATTCTAGGTAGGGGTCTAATGATAGAAATGGAATAACCTTACTTTAGGAAGTCTTGAGGATCACTTTGGTATGTGTGAAGGGGTTGTATAGGTTGCCACATTATATTTTACTTAAGTGGGTTTTCGGATAACCATTGGTGGGAGGTTTATATGCTTATGTGGTTTCTAAATGTTGAAAGTTGTATGTTGTGGATTACTTGGGATATGTCTTATATGTGTGTATTATGACTTGTAAGTGATTCTTATACTTGTTTTATGAGGTTTTCTTCAAAAAGAGCATGAAAGCATACTTTAAATCAAATGCCTTTTTAATATGGCTTTATTGCATATCACCATACTTGGTGAATTTTAATGTGCTAATTCCATATATAGTCTTATCTCTAAAGGTGTAGGTGGCGATAGAGAGGAGTCATTTGAATTGAATCTTGGAATTAACATCCTTTCAAGCAAGTTTTGGTATGTTCTCAAATTGATTTGAGGACACAACTATGTTTAGCTTTTCTTTTCTAAAGACATTGTATTAGACTTTGATATTTCCTATTTTGTCAATGTATGGGTTGTGACGCAAGATATTTGGGTGTCTAAGATGGCAACGAGTCTTAGCCTTTTGCTATGATTTTTATGAAAGATATTTTGAATGTAATGTTACTTTATAATGAGCACTGATATTACTAGCTATGAGCGGTGATGCCTTATTTCAGGAAGGGAAGAGGTTCACGTAACTCTCATGAGATGAGACTGTCCGGCCTGCCGGGCATGGGTCACCTTATATATCCTAGTCTTCGAAGCTATACTGCCAATATAACGATCTGGAGGGGTTCAACTCCCATGTACGCTAGCATGTTTTGGGTCACTTTGGCCAGTGAGTCCACCTCTTTTCGGTATGGGATTTCATGACATTGGATTTCATGATGCT